GGCCCCTCCCAGACGCCGTAGCCGCCGCGCGTCACTTCCGGGGGCAGGGAGGGCGGGGCCGCGACCCCGTGGGGCGCTGCGGGACTTAGCTGCCCGGTAACCTGGCTTTGAGGGGCCGCGATTTGGGGCGTGGGGGCGGTGAGGGCGCCTCCTGGAGTTCTCTATTTGCAGCTCTTCGCCACACTCCATACAGTTGCTTCCAATTGCCAGAGGCGCCCGTCTGGAACCTGCAGAACCAAAGCTGTCCCCTGTGTCGGGTCCTCGGACTCCCCAGGGTGTCCCGGTTCCTGAGGGCCCTTCATACGCTCCTGGGTCCGAGGAAAGCGGTAGCGCTCGCAGAGCAGCCTGCCGGAGGAACATTTCTGTTGCTGCTATGCTCCACTGTGAGGGCGTTTATGCCGCTCTTCCTCCCTACCCCTCGCTGAGTGGACCTAGAAGTTGGTGTCGCCATAGCTTTCTCGTCGAAATGCCACATCCCACGACGCTATAAACACTTGGTAACTATTAAATCTGTACTGTGGCTCTCTAGCCCGAGGCCGCTCACCAATAGAAACACCCACATCGTGGGAGAATTTTGCTCTGGCATTGGAGGCAGAGATCTGGGATCCATTCCTGGCTGTGCACCTCAGCGACCTTAAGCGACGTGTTAATCTCTCCAAAACAATTTCATCATTAAGAGGAGTTAGAGAACCTAGTCTCTTAGAGTAGTTGTAATGATTAAAGAAAATAAGGTGCAAAAATCACCTAGCAGAGTTTCTAGGCTCACATTAAATATAATTCTTAAGGAACCGGAGCACACTTGGTACAAAAAACTGCAAGAACAATCCAGCAGCAGAAGGATGTGGGTTAATTAATAAGCTCAGACTGCTGAACAAAACCTCCAAGAAATAGATTACGCATTCTGCTTAACAGGACCCAAGGATAGGTCAGTATCCGGGTTACTGGTTATTCCTGGCCATTTACTAGCAGTATGACCTACAGAGAGTTATTTAACCTTTCCGAGCCTCATTTCCTTATGTAAAATGAAGATGATTAATATGCAGCGTTGCTGAGAGGATTAAATGTAATAAAGGACATAATGTGCTTAGTGTATAACCTGGCCTGTCGTAAACACCCAGTGAATGGTGATGCCATTTATTTTTGCTTGCTCTCCCACCCCTACAATATAGATTATGGTAAAAATTAATTGAATTCACTTGGTCAAATGTGATTCTCTCATCTCTTGTAGACTTTTGGAAAAGAGTCATTTTCATTTCCAACCTCTTCCTCCATAATGCTGAGAAATTATAATACACTTCCTGGCCTGTAAATGCCACCAAAAAAAAAATTATAATACACAGAGGTGACTATTCTTATAAAAGCAACTCCACTGAAATATGTTAGCTTTTCAAAATTAATTTTACCCAAGTATGTAAATGGATTTTTGTTTTGTTTTGGAAACAGTCTCACTCTGTCTCCCATGGCATGATCACAGCTCACTTTTGGGCTCAAGCAATTGATCCTCTTGCCTCAGCCTCCCAAATAGCTGGGACTATAGGTGCAGGCCACAAGGAGGGCTAATATTTCTGTTTTAAGTAGAGACGGGTCTTGCTCTTGCTCTTGCTCAGGTTGGTCTCAAACTCATGAGCTCAAGCAGTCCACCTGTCTCAGCCTCCCAGAGTGGTAGGATTACTGGCCTGAGCCACTGCACCCAGCCAAATGTATTTTTATTTTAGAAATATGTGTCTCAACTTGGCGCCTGTGGCTCAAGTGGCTAAGGTGCCAGCCACATACACCTGAG